TTTAATAAACAAGAAAATGCCGTTAAAACATTTTTTAAGGCGCGGAATTCAGTGAAAATCGAGAAATTATACGGAACTACTTTCTCAATGCGCGGAGCATAAACAAGGAGCGGAGGGATACGGAACGGACCGGTGACTACTTTCTTGGGAACCTATTTGTGTTGCCAGCTGATTAGAAACAGCCAATGTTAGAAATCAGGATTTATTAAGCGATATATCGAACCGCATCGAAATCGGTATTTAATTCGATAATACCTCATAGGTTATATTATGTTGAATTACATCGACGGTACAGTAAGTTATTACACTTATTGATAAAACGCAGATTGAACACTGATCTAATTTAGGCAGGTGGGGAGGTAGGTCGGTGTTTATGAGTATTCGTGACTACATTTTGAAGTAAGGTTAGATTAGGAAGGTAAAGTGTAGGTTATAGGTAGGTGATCGGGTTGTTTATTTGTGTTGCACCATATAATTTTTATCTTTTGGAATGGAATAGTTGGTTAAGGTTAAAGGGGAAAACGATTTCAAAAATGCTTGCATATGGTCTTAACTTAACAAACCATCTACAGTATTCTAGCTTTGACTTTATATAATAATTTATGGAATGTGAAAAGTTGTATATCATTATATACTATTCTGTAATATTAATAATTGTTCGGCAAATCCTCATTTTAATGGCTCGGCTGAAAATGGAATCTGCATTTTGTGAAACAGTTATTTGGTAACAATTCAGTCATTTCAAATGTTGATAAAATTTCCTTTTTTTTTATACTGTAATGTCCTTTTTGGATGTTAATATCAGATTCCAACTACTGTAATATTTTCCTGGTCAAAACTACCTTACACTTCTCGAAGAGGTAAATTTGAATTATTATAATTTTAATCTTTAAAACCAGCATTAGTAAATAAATCTATTGACCTTTTTACATTTAGTTACTTATACAAATATCAAATCACGTTTGTTCCGCTCAACTGGCTTTCACCTCTCTGAAAGCAACCCTAGTTCATAAAGTAACGTCTGAAAGAAGTTGCATGTATCATAAAAGTAAAAATTAAATATTTTTGTTCTTGCTATTATATTGATTAATTACGCAGTAATGTAAGTGTAGTTAGGATACCTTTTTACACAAACATTGTTATTGCTAATTCCCTAGAAACTACTGTGGACAATTTCGTATGTTTCAGTACAGATCAGGAAGGTTTAAGGTAACCAATTTTACTCCAGCTTACAACTGTCATTTTGTAACCAGGCAACCAAACGATCCTCAACAACAATAACCAGGACTCATGGGTTTACTCTGCCTTAACAACAACACACACAAATACTTCCAGGACAATACACTGTCTCATTGTTCCTTGTTTACCTTTAAGCTAACTTATTTAGAAAATGAAATAAAAAGCAACTTAAAGACTTACAATTATTAAGTTTACTTAATTAAGTTTATGACTTACAACGACACATTTTTTAACAAAATCGATCCAGCTAAACTGTAGATTTAATTGTACAAAGTTAAAAATTAATCTCGAACTTTTTTCACCACTAGACATTCTTAGTTTGCTTGACGTTTTTTAAAATAACTTTTAAATGCTGAAGAACCAAAGTGAAAGGTATTATTCCAAAAAATAGATAATGGTACAAAAAATTGCCTCATAATTAAATAAATTTGAAAATCCCCGTCTTCAATGAAGACAATAGACTTAGCAAACATTAAATTTCACTTTTTTTATTTTAAGCTAAATTTTTGCTACATTTATTGAATAATAGGAAATTGTATTCTCTTTCGGAAAATTACCTTCCACCTTGGTCTAATTCCTCACCATTTTAAAGGTTATTTGCAAAAACGTCATGCAACCTCCGAATTTCTAGTGGTGAAAAAAGTTTAAGATTACTTTTTAACCTTGTACAATTAAACCTACAGCTCTGCTGGATCGATTTTGTTAAATAATTTGTTTTTGGGTGGCATAAAATCTTTGAGTTGCTTTTTCATTTGATTTGTATTTTATATAGCGGTACGTTTAATAGCATGAAAGTTACAAAGCGTTGAAACCCGGCTATGCATTTTGAAATACCCGGTATTCATAGTATAGCAAACATCACCAGGCCAAGGAGGCACGAAAATTGGACACAAAATACAACATCACCATTTGTATATAAATTTACAGACGTTTCTTACACTAGTCATATGGACAAAAGCCAGCGTTAATTTAGACTTAAACTTTGTTCGGGCGCACAATCAAAAAACGTATGAAGAAACACACACCAAGGATTAAGGATACAGTTGTGACATTTGCATTTGACATTTGAACATTTACAGGCAACTGGAGCAGTGTGGCGTAGGCGGAGCCTGGGGGGTACCCACTGGAGCCACAACATCAACTGACTTTGCCGGAACTTCGTTTGAAATTTCCGAAGAACGGTTGTCTTCAACAATTTCAACTTTCTCTTTGACAGACTTTCCTGCCTTAATACTCTCCAAAATACCTTCCAGCTCAAGGTTTCTGGCCTCCACCCAACTCTTGTCTTCATCCTGGATTTCAGGTTGCCCTGAAACCAAGAGTAGACGCTTACGCCAGTGCGTCAGCTGTGTGATGGCCGAACCCTTAGCTGAGCCCATAGGCAAACTACTCCAACTAGCAATTTCCCCACTTAGCTCTTCCATCCTCTCTTTACATGCCTCCAGTTCCTCATTCAAACTGAGCGACTCAACCCAAGCTTGAGGCATGCTAGCAATTTGTCTGAACTGAGTACGCAAAGTGCGTACATCAGTTCCAGGAGTCTCCTCCCGGGACCGCACCTCGTACACCAGCTCCGGCTTCCTCAAATATTCCGGCACAATTGACGCCATACCGAGTCTCAACCAGTACTTGACTCAAGACAAGAGACAACAAAATTTTTTTTCACAAAACAAAACACAGAAATTTAATTCCTAAGGCTTCTGGACGTTGATGCCTACGCACCTGATGGGGCCCAAAAGAAGAACCTGCCCATTCATACCGCAAGTACCGCAAGAAAAAAACAACAACAAATGACCCACGAACGTACACACACACAAACATACACCGATACATACACTAGACAACACCTAACACTTGTGTGATGGGGTGTACACACAAACCTTTTTTTTTTTTTTTTTGAAAGATGACCATGCTTTTGACACTCTTGCTCCCGAAGGATGCAAGTAATTACGACCGATTCCACCCGGTGCCTCGGCCCAAGGGCGAGCTCCGAATAAAATATGTTTACGCCCCACCACAACAACAACGAGACCTTTTCCCAAAACTGCCAGGCCAGAACTTTCCAAGAAACCAATCCATCCACGGCCCTTAAAAAAACAGAACGCGGACGGTGATCGCATCTCTAAGTATCCGAGTCGTGAAACCAAGTTTCACGACAAGGCACCCAGGACGCAAACAACATAACCACGCTCTGCTACCAGATGAACCATGCCCTCGTGCCTGCACCCAGACTAACGAAATGGAAGCGTGATCCATGCGCAGGCCCGAGGAGCGGCTCACAAAACTTTACTTAACAAAATGAGAACCATGGATGGAGGTTCAAGAACAACACGCCATTTGAGAGAAACGAGCTGTAATAACTAATTAAATAAACACAATAACAATAATCAACAACAATACATGAATTAAATACTCTCAATTAAACTTTAAATAAATTTAGATACCCATCTAAGCTGCTGACTTACAGTCTTTTCTTTTATTATTCAATTATCAGAAAGATTTATTAAAAATTTAACCTTTAATAAAAAATTTACCAAGATTACCAAATTATAACAATTAAATATGAATATGTAGGCTAGTATTTTCTTTAAATAAAACCATATTAATCTGGTAACAAAATTAATAACCTTTTGGGGCCCCAATTTGAAGTTTTAGAAACTTTAAAGTAGGCATTAACTGGGATAAAATTTAATAAACAATAACAAGAATGTAGACTAGGTTATAACATTTAGAAGGCAATAACAATAAATAAAATCTGTGCAACAAAATTTAACAAGAAATTACCACTAACTTAGTCCTTCGTAGATATGAAAAGTCTTTTCCTTTTAAAAAACAACTTAAACTAAAATAACGACAACAGGTGGTAACTTGCGGTAACGACGAACGGTAGCTTCAGGTAGTGGGCGGACAGCACCGGAGGGGAAAGAAGCAGGGCGGAGAGAGGCCATGATCCAGGGGTAGCCAAGTTGGAAAAATCCTCTCCGCCAAGGCAGATGCGGTCTAGATCATTTTCCTCCTCACGGGTTGACAGTTCACATGGGCCCCATCAAGGTGCCGGTGGCACGAATAGTTACTCCATGATTGACATAAGTATCCTCTTGAACAAAAATGAGGCGAATAACATTAAAAACATGCCACAAAATTAAGATGGAACAGGATAACAAAATATGCCGACCGAAGTATTGAACAGCCACACAACCTCTGAAAGTTGGTGGTGGGAGTAATAAGAACAAAAAAAAACACAGCCTTGTTCGGGGTCGTGGAAGTAACAAACGAAACACTGAACTAGCCTACTATACAAAAAACACATTAACCATTGAATATGAGTCGTGACATTCGCCCGGTGGAAATAGTCACGGCTCACAGTACATAAATAAAATTGCTTATGGAAAGAAGGTGAAAATATTTTAACCTTTCTTTTCTCTGATTTGTGTAAATGCATGTACGAAGTTGTTTTTTTTTATATACGGATGAAATTGCTACTACCATACAACTAAAACTCACAGTCTACGGACCAGGAAATCTACATACAATGAATAGAAATGCACACAGCATTACAAGTGGAATTCAGTTGGTTATACACGATTTTTTATATTTCTGTATGCTATGTTGCTCTGTTGTTATAAGTTAAGTTTTGCTGTCGAATACTGAGTTGCGAGATACATGCTGTCACAAACCACGAACATGTAAATGAATATTAATTTGTATTAAAAACTAAAATAAAACTACAATTTGTTACTTTCTTGGCAATAATTGGACCTTGTTATTTAATTTCAAAAACAAACACGAAATATGACGATCTTCTGTTTCTATAAAATGGAAGAAACACAAGATGATTTTTTAACCGCCAATGCCATCCAGAACTCTGCAGTAGCTCCAAAGCACCAAAAGTATATAGAGTTTTGCAGCTGTAAAAATATCATGTTTTTTACTTTTTGTGATTAACCCACACAATTTCAATTTTTTTTAATTTATCATTTGTTTCGTCATTTTATCGTTTGTCATTCATCATTTACATAGTTTTATAAAGATAAAACTTATCGCAGTAAATTGATACTTATTGTGACATACCTTGTTCAATCTCTGTTTATTAAGATATAACTTTTAAAATAACCTATACCTTACCATGTTTAGTCAATTAAAAATTAACCCTGAAAACTCTAATAACAAAAATTTTAGTAAGAGTCTCTAAGCATTAGACATTCTTATTGTTGTTAAGCTAAGGTTTATTCTTTTAAATGCCAACATAATATACTAAACCGCACATCATCGATTGATAAATAATCAGTTCAACCCCTAAAGGAAAATTTGGCCTAATATAAACTATAGCAACTATTGTTCACTGACATATCTGTTTGAAACACACCTGTTCCTTTAATAATGCGGAAATTGGTAATATTTTATAAAACTTCATTTTGAAACAACTCGATTTTAAGGGTAATTGATTGAAACATATTTTAATGCAATAGAATACACTCACCAATGAAGAAGATAACTCCGACAACTCCGACGATAGACGTACAATGTAGTGCAGAAGTCGCCACTAATACCATAAAAGATATGCCCCGAAATGTCACTATTGAAGTGCAAATCTTATAGCGCTCGGAGCTGTTCTGCAAAATTTAAAATTTAAACTAAAATCTAGAAAGAATAAATAATCTATTATTATGTTCAACTAATTGCTAAAACGCTTTTATCTACTTTGCATTAAAATATAAAGCCTATTAAGGAAGGATAGATAATAATCTAAGGGTCTTTTACCAGTGTGATAGTGAGTTCATTAACAATAAAAAATGCTCCCGCAATATTCTTAAATGTTCACTTTCATTTATTTTTCTTTGCTTATTACCTTATTATCCTATATAATTAAATGGACTCAGCAAATAAGGGAGATTTCAATGTAATATAACTTTAAATCTAGACTTGAGAAAATATAGTATATGATCCATGCACATTTAAGTCATAAATAATTCTTAGATTAGCCAGCTGGCACTGGCAGTACCTTGGGTATTTATTTTGCTACGTCCGTTGAATATTATTCTATCAATGTATATTACATAAATATCATATTTTATTAACTGTACATATAATGAATTATATTCCGTACTTACATCATTGATGGCAGTGTAAGCAAGCAAACCAACAATCGCCATCAATAAATACTCTGATAGTTCTTCCATCACTGTAATTTAAACACATCGTTTACCCAAAACCATCAATTACAATTTCATACTGCTAATTTTTTTTATAACGTATTACTAATTGTCAATATTGAAAACAGCAGTAATATAATACCTCTTTACAAATGAAATAGATATTTGTTTATAAAGTTCTCTAGTAGTGAAAATAGTAACTATGGCAACTTACCAAATGGATTAGATAGTTTTTTTAAAGCTCCCGTTCTTAAAGCGAATACAAAGGTCATCATGAAGCTGATTATGTTGTACCCCTCTAAACAATGTTATTCTTATGAAATATACAGGATGTTTTTTTTTTAAACTTGCATCTTTATTTATGTAAAAACCGCAATAGATAGAAATATGCAGTTGGCGGGAATCATCTATTGACGTAGGGGGCACAATTTTTTTTAATTAAACGTTACATTTACATTCCCCCCTTTCCCCCCCTGCCCCAACTTAATTTTTTTTAATAGCAAGGTACCCCTTGTGACATATCAAATAAAAGAGCATGAAAAAAGAAAACGTTTGATGAAAAAATTTGAAAATCGGATTATAAATTTGTGAGATATTCCCCCCTCCCCCCCCGGAACTTAATTTTTTTTTTAAAGCAAGGTACCCCTTGTGACATATCAAATGAAAAAGCATGAAAAAAGAAAATTTTTGTTGAAAAAAAATTTAAAATCGGCTCATGAATTTGTGAGATAATCCCCCCCTTTTTCCCCTACCCATAACTTGTTTTGTAATAGCAAGGTACCCGCCCTTGTGACATATCAAATGAAAAATAAATTTCACCAAAAATTTTCTTTTTTCATGCTCTTTCATTTGATATGTCACAAGGGTACTTTGCTATTAAAAAAAAATCAAGTTCCGGGGAAGGGGGGAGGGAAATATCTCGCAAATTTATGAACCGATTTTTAATTTTTTTTTCATCAAACATTTTCTTTTTTCATGCTCTTTCATTTAATATGTCACAAGGGGTACCTTGCTATTTAAAAAAAATAAGTTGGGGGCAGGGGCGGAAAGGGGGGGAATGTGAATGTAACGTTGAATTCAAAACAATTGGGCCCCCTACGTCAATAGATGATTCCCGCAAACCGCATATTTCTATCTATTGCGGTTTTTACATAAATAAAGATGCAAGTTTTTAAAAAAACACCCTGTATAATGATCCTTAGGTTATGTTTTTATGCTTTTATTATGTTTTTAAGCACCATAATATCGATATATTTATGTAAAACTTTCAAAGCTCTTTTGAAATTTTATTTTTGTAAAAATTTGATAAAACGGTTTATAAAATCATTTTAAATTGGTAGAAACTGAAATGGGTTCATACAATCTACAAACTTTTGAAACATGTATCATACTTACAATATAAACCAAATATATAAACGACGTACAAGTTTCCAGTGGAATAATCCACAAACATTTATCAAGTAAAATTTGATCAATGAAAGGGCTCGACGAGCTGTCATTGTACATTTTTGTTTGATCCATATTGAAATTTAAAACCCAAGATAACAATTGCCAACGTATAATGTACTCGTAAATTTTAATTGGGGCTTTAAATAACTAATTTATTTCAATAAGGTTGCTTCGTAACCAGTAGTAAGTAATACAAATTGAAAATGCTAATATTTGTGGAAACTCTGATGTGTATACGAATCAAGCTTGTCTAATAACTAGTATCATAACTCGGGGCTAGAGTATCCGTGGTCCCGGATGAAATCCTGCTTTTCATTACTAATATTGTGATAACCGCATATGTAATAACGCCACGGCCTTCTAGGCCTTGCATCAAGCAATGTATAAAACAGTTCTGGGTTTGAACCTAGCGTTTCAGGATGTAATGGTGAGTAATACTGACTATTTACATTTATATTTACAAAACTAATATTTAAATGAACATATACCTTTGTAATATTGAGTACCTATTCAGTGATTCCAACTGATATTGTTTGAAGAGGCTCAAAAACTATCATATGTTACATGTATTTTAAAATAGCAATCTGTACATTTATTACTATGTAATAATGTAAGTAGTGTATGGCATCAGTTTTATTCTAAGAAACTTACTCTAAATATTACAATGCTAATCTTAGTAAAAAAATATTTTTATTGAAACCTCTAAATTTAATTGATATCGGATGCTCGCTTGAAATAAAACTATAAAAGTGTGATGACAGCAAAACTATTGCTTTTTCTTCCCATAGTTTTTTTTATTTATTTATTTTAAATGTTTAAACATATTTTTGTACGAAGTTAACATCACAAAATTGACATTACCGGACCAAAAACCTAAACGAGATTTGGAAAGAGCATAAAATAATACATAGGATTATTCTGCTTGGACTGAAGAGAATATATAATAGCGGTGTTTTATGATTTTGTAGGTTTTTACTTAACGTACAGTAATATTTTCTGCCCTTTGGTGTGTTTTAATTTTTACCTTTGAGGAACTTTGATTGAACACAAACATGCACATATGAATTTTAAAGGTTTAGTGGTGAAACATATTTTTTTATTTACGAAAGAAATGACAATACGTTGACTATAATTTCCAGTGGATATTAAGAGTTAATAGTTATTCTTATACAACAATTTTGTAGTCATACGGCACCGAGTAAATTTAATTTCAATTAAAATAAATTGTCCGCCTCTTAAAAAAGTCTTATCTTCTATACGGAAACAGTCCCAAGTGTTCTAGAGAGTAATCTAAATAACAGTTATTAATTGCTCGTAAGTTTGTTGACCTAAGCAAAAGATACACTTTTTTACGTATAAAACATTCATTATAGTACAAGTATACCTTTCATGCAAGTTACTAAGTTGGTACACATTTTTCTGATTGAAAATATAAAGCATTTGAAGTAAGAATATTATTTATACTTATTAATTACCTTTGAAGGGAAACAGTTATTTAAGCAGTATTGATTAATTTATACTTTAATATATTTCACTTTTTGTAATTTCCATTAATTGACTTATTGTTTGTATTTAGTTTTAGTATTTAATAATAAAATGATGGCTTTTAAAAAAATCTGGAACACACACAATCAGCTAAGGAATTAGATATTCTCAAAGTTGTGCAATAACCTGTCGCTATAACAGCTCCTAAACAGTACTTGAAACAGCTTCAAAGTCTCAAACCCATCATTAGGACTAAGGGGTATTTATAATTTTCGAATAAAGTATTTACTTAATCAGGACAAAGTTATTAAATCCTCTAAATGTAAATTAGTCTACTTAATTTTTTTTTCTGATTATATTATTTTAATAATATAGCAAAAAATTATTTTAAAAAATCGTTTGTATACTGATTATGTATACTCACCGTACAATTTGACTAACTTTACTTACAGTTGGAATTATTTTCACTTATATCCGATAAAAAATATATTTTCTTGTAAATACAATAATTTGTAAACAATGGCTTATTATATCTAGGTTTTACTAAGTTTACTTTGCAGAAACGTATACATTGTTAAATATTTTGTTAAATTCATGGGAAAAACCAGAAAATTTAAGTTAGGGGTCAATTTTGCAAAACGTTAAAATATATTTATTATTTACAAATTTAATAAATTCAATAATTCATTTGACCTAGTTATTAGAGTCAATCTTATTAAACTGTAACTTAAATCTGCTATTGTTTATGAATTTTAAATATTGCTAAAATACTCAATCTTTACTCCTAATAAGTTTAACTACAGAGCCATGTGGTTTTTAGGCGTACTAAAATGTGAGTTATAAACTAAAGTTGTTTACTATCGTCAATACATTGAACAGATATTAATAAAGTGGATTATTTGCTGACCAGCTTGTGTATTGTGTAAACAGACGCAATTATAATACGGTCAGTGATTATGAAGTTATGAAGTTTGCATAAGGTAATACTTAGGTTATTTTTGTAAGGCAAATTTACTACTACATAATAAATTCACCATATTTAAAAAAAACTTTTAGCATGAATTAATTTTGTCTTACATCACCTCAACATAATATACAACATAATAATGTGAAAATATAATGTTCATCTCCAGGTAATCTCTGTACTTATCTTTCAGAGATATACGACGTTAAATTACTTCATCGTTGTACTCGTTGGAAGGTAAATTGTGGATGCACTATTTGTAATCACTTTTACATCCAAAGATAACACTAACCAATGTATTTCCAACTGGCCAAAATTTAAAAGTGTAACTTAAAAATTAGGTAAAGCTATATTTGGGAAAATAACTAATAGCCACCATATTTAATCTCTTTGAGTGGTTGACCTTTTAGCTCCTAAGTAAGCTTATAATTATTGGAAACATTCCCAATTTCGTGTGTGGTTTGTATATAAATTACCGTGCATGTTGTCTGCGGTGTCATTCGATATGATACAAATCCTGTATTTTAACGGATTAACTTAGCTCCCGGCTTTATTTGAGGTTGATATTTAATCGTTGTAACAAATTAATTTGTTTAATAATCCTGTTTTAAATGCGTACACAATGTTGGCGGAAACCTTTTAAATTGTAATTTTCTACTAATAAATAATTTTGTTTCCTACATTTATTAAATAATTTATTTCTTGTGAGTAAAATATTGGTTAAGTGTAACTTGAAGAACAATTGATATATTGAAGGAAACTGTTTAAAATGCTGACCTAAATCAATCTGTGGTTTTCTTAACCTTTGTTTTTACTACTTGTGCTCTTCAAGCACATTGACTTAATTGAACCCGTGACGAACTAATTCGATTGACTAAAATTCCTAACCGTTGTGAAGTAAAATATTTAGTTTATTTATTAATAGTACAACGTCAAGGATAAAGTATTAGTGTCAAAGTATTTTCCCGTAACCTTTTGTTAGAATTTCACTGTTCATCTCACACTTTAAGCTCCGTAATGCAGTCTAGTACTGTTTAATGTTAATTAGCTGACTTATTAACCATTAACCATTACCGTAATAACTGTTTCTTGTTATTAAAGGAAGGCCATTTCAAAATTTAAAAAATTCTTTAAATGCGATAAAGTGTAAAGAGTATATTTTGAAGTAGAAAATGAACAACTAAGAGTAAGAAAGTACTCTGTTTTTTCTCTTTTTTAGAGAACAAGGTTATGGAGGCCTACACCACTAACTATAAAGACAAAACGTTGCTGTTGGTTGTGAGTTCCAGATTATTCAACAGCTGTTATAATTGTTTGGTTATTTTCAAATCCTAGTTAGGAATTGCTCATAACAGTACGTTGTATGTTTATGTTTGCACACCCCTACACTGGCCTAACACAATTTTATTAAAAGTATTAGAGAGGCCTACTGTTAAAACACTTTTATATTTGGTCTATGCCTTGCCTCATTCTAGCATGCGCCAAGATTACTACACTATGACCCTCCAGGTCAAATTTTAAGTATAAATATAGGCCTAGATGTTCGTAGCATGAATACAAGCCATTGCAATATTTGAATGCAGGAACTGAAACTACACGATCTACTAATAGACCAAATCACCCTGTTGTATTGATTAGGTTATTATTAACACTTTTAAATTCAATATTACACACGTTTTTCTAAATTATTGGTAAAAATAGGTCTTCTTTCTGGTCATACCAGCACGTTTCTTGGCATTAAAATTCCTACGCAATATGCGGTATTGGGACGTGACAGTGTTAATATATTTTTTACCTGGCGTAGTAAGGATGGCAATGAAGTAAGGTTTACTACAGTATATTTATAAAAACCCTGCATCACAAAGCACGTTATAATCATTGTATCCGGTGAGATTATTGTGATAGGTATATGTTGTGGGTGTAGATTAAATTAAATATTAATTTGGCAAGTTTTATAAAACGGTATTGGTTTATTATACCACTAATAGGTAATTCATTACTATGTTTTTCGTAAGAAAATATAGTCAACCATTTAAAAATCTATCATTTTCATTGGAACTAATTTTTTTAACGAAACACAAAATTGAATAGAAAAACTACACTGATTGACATGGAACAAACCAAGTTAGATTTGACTTTTTTGTCTCACCACAGGACCTTTGTCTGAGTCGACTGTAAAATAACTGTGCTTGTGATATAAATTAGTCATCAGCTGTTTGATATTGTGAACATTTTTATTTGTTTATCTTTGGATGATTTTTATTGATTCTTGTTGTCAAGGAGAAATCAATATTTTCCAGAGTTGGATTGTTCTGATGTGTAGAAAATGTTAGTTTGTTAAAGCATTAAATATCTTAATTATTTTTTTTTAATTTGCATGTTGATTTAATTACAAGCTATTTCGGCATAATGTCAGGTACTGGTGTTAAGTTCTCAGACTTGATTAAGCAGTATGATGGAAGTGGTGATTTTAGTGAGTGGTTAAAGAAACTAGAATTGGTATGTAAGCTCCAAAAGGTGAAAGACTTGCAGACAGTTCTCCCCCTATTTTTGGCTGGAGGAGCATTTTCTGTATATGACGGGCTAGCAGAAAATGTAAAGAGTAACTATGAGGCTCTCACCAATGCATTGCTGCAGGCCTTTTCTGCGAACTGTTTTCAGGCTTATGCAGAATTTA